TTCCACTGTCTGTTTTAGATGCGATGAGCTGCAGGCCGAGCTACAGGCAGCCAATGCCAAGAACTTGGAGTACGAGGAGAAACTGCAGACCATGAAGGAGAAGTTGGAGTTTTATAATCGTGAGGCTGTTAGCTTGGAGTTCGAATATGAGTCCCACAAAACCAAGTCAAAGCTGCGAGAGACGGATCTTCTGTCGGCCCTGTCCGAGAAGGATTTAACCATTGAAAATCTGCAGAAAAGTCTCGACGAATTGTCTCGCGATGTCCTGCGCAACAGCAAGGAGGAACGGATGCGCTCCCCCATAGTGGATACATCGATGCCCGAGATAATCTGCGACAAGTGTGTGGAATTTGAACGTCTGCTGGCCGATGCCAACGCAAAGCTGGAGAGCATTCAACTGTCCTTTAGCCAGAAGACAGAGGACTGTGAACGCCTCAACATTCTAATATCCACAGCCCATGATGACATGGCTCTTCTGCAGGGAAAGTACGATGGGCTGGAACTTAATTGGCAGAGCCAGCAGCAGGCCATTCAAGCCATGGAGTCAGACTACTATGACCTCCAGCAGAAGTTCCAAAAGGTGCAGCAGGAATACGAGGATTTGGGACGAACCTCCAAAGCCAACAAAGATCAGTGTCTACAGCTAGAGGCCGACAACACGGCACTTCAGGCGGAGATTGTCACACTCAAGGAGCGCGTGGAGCAGGCGCAGCGCGTGCTCTTGGAATCTAGTAATCAAAAGGCGCTCGCGGAGCAACTGAAAGAAAAAAATGATGAGCTCAAAGCAGAGCTGTCGGATGTGCAGTCGAGCTTCCAGGAAATGCAGCGCGAATATGACTGCTTGTCCAACGATCTAATGGAGAGCGTAGAGGAGTGTGATGGCTTGCGTAACGAGTGCAACGCTTTGCGTGAGGAGCTCAAGCAGCGGTCGACGCCCAGCTATGACATCGAGTCCATGAAGAGCTCTGGCGTCGGCACAGAGTGCAGTGAGGCCGATCTAGAGTCGGAGTCAGATATCGGATTTTTGGAGAAGTTTGCCAAGCTGTCAGATTCGCTGCACGAGATCGAGCTGCAGCATCGCTCAGGCTTCAGTCGCCTCTTCAGGGCTACTAAGATTCAGGAGCACAATGTGCCCGGGCTGAAGCTCTGCCTCGAGTCTGCTACAGACATACACACCGTCGCGCACACGCTCGATGACGATGCAGAAGATGCCGTGTGCCTGAAGGGCGTGCTGCGACAGCACAGGTTCCAGATCATCAGGCTGACCCAGGAGTCTGCACCCGTGCAAGAAGATGCGGAAAAGAGACGCCTGCTCGACCACATTGCTCAGCTGGAGAATGAGATTGCGCAGAAGAACATGTTGATCGATGCCACGGAGGGAAATATCAATGAGATGCGCGAACAGATGACCAACCTGGAGGCGGCGCTACTGGAGAAGTCGGTGATTGTCAACAAGGTGGAGTCGTATCAGCGACAGATCGAGTCTCTCGAGAAGCAGAATGCTGAGATAACCATCGTCTGTGAGGAGTTGCAGGAGAAGGTGAAGGAGAACACAATGAGCGAGAGCCTCATGCTAAGTCCTGGGGACGATACGCTGCCCGGCAACACATCCACCCCTTTGATGCTACAGGACCAGGAGCCCGCTGAGATAGCTGCTCTCAAGGCATCCCTTTCCGAGCTGATGGACAAAGTCGCCGAGCTGCAAGGCAGAGTGGAGAACCAACTGTCTCAGATGCAGCAAAAGGACAACCACATCGATGTGCTGCGTACAGAAATTGAGGAGCTGAACGAGCGCTGCATAACCATGGAGGTGAAGCTGGTGGAACTTCAGTCGAATGCCAGCCAGCAGCAGCAGCTCCTCGAACGACAAGCTGAGAAATTGGCAGACGACGTGCGACGCATCGATCAGCTGCAGGAAACCAATGCGAAGCTCGTGGAGCGCAGCATCAAGGCGGAAGACTCCCTGTCGGTGATGCAGGAGCGTTTGCTTCACGATAATCGCATCGAGAGCCTGGAAGAATTACTAAAGAGTGCCAGAGATCGCGTCGAAACGCTTGAGGAAGAGCTGAAGAGTGGCCGAGATTTCATCGAGGTTCGCGAAGAGGACCTGAAGAGTGCCGGATATCGCATTCATACGCTTGAGGAAGACCTAAAGATTGCCAGAGATCGCGTCGAAACGCTTGAGGAAGAGCTGAAGAGTGGCAGTGAAGGCAAGGAGACGCTTGAGAAAGAGCTGAAGAGTGCCGGAGATCGCGTCGAAAAGCTTGAGGAAGAGCTGAAGAGTGCCAAAGATCGCAACGAGGCTCATGAGGAAGACGTAAAGAGTGCCAGAGATCGCATGGAGACCTTGGAAGAATCTCTTAAGAGTGCAGGAGTTCGCATCGAGGCTAGTGAGGAAGACCTGAAGAGTGCCAGAGATTGCATCAAAACGCTTGAGGAAGACCTGACGAATGGCAGAGATCGCATCGAGACCTTGGAAGAATCCCTAAAGAGTGCCAGAGATCACATCGAGACGCTCGAGCAAGATCTGCAAAGTGCCAGAGATGTAATAGACGCCAATGAGAAGCAGAAAACGGACGAGCTGAACGCCCTGAAGCTCGAGTATCTTGATAAAATAGAGCAAAGCGAGAACGAATATCGCAGCAACTTCCGCAAATACAACACCGAGTGGGAGGAGGGCAAGGAACGCTACGAACAAAGCGTGTCCACACTGATGGCAGACCAAGCCAAGGCTGCAGCTCAACATCAGGCAGAGCTGGAAGACATCAGAACAGAGCAGAATGCGGTCTTGGAACAGCTGAAGCAGGAGAAGCTCGAGCTGGAGTCGCTGTACGCGAAGAGCCAGGAATTGGTGGCGAAGCTACAATTGCAGCTGAACGCCCGAGACCGCAGCTCCACCGAACAGCTAGATGATATGATAGCCAGCTCACAGCAGCGGATTCAGGAGCTTGAAGAGCGATGTGAGAAGCACATTTTGGACTATGATCACCTGCGTTCGAAATTTCAAGCAGACTTGGAAAAGCTGACAGAGGAGAAGGTGGCCCTGCATTCCGAAAGGAAAGATTTGGAAGCGCAGCACACGAGCACTTTGGAGAAGATTCATCTGCTGGAGCAGCAACTGGAGACACTAAGCAAACAGACATGCTCCGAGAAGGCAGAACTACTCGACAAAATTGAGACTTTCACGTTAAAGAACAGTGACTTGAGTGAAGAACTGAAGCGGGTTCAAAAGAAGGCCCGGGACTTTGACGAATTATTCTCCCAGCATCAGCGGTTGCAGGCGTGCTTGTCCGAAGCCACAGGAGTCAACATTTCGTTAAGAGAACAAGTGGAGAGTCTTCAGTGTGAGCTCAACAGTGCCCAGGAAAAACAGAGCAAACGAAACGTTGAAATCGAAGAACTTCGATCGAAGCTGAAGGGCGCTTTGGAAGCACAGACCTCTGCGAGCACACAGGAGACTGCTCTGAAAAATCAGCTGGAGGAAATGGAAGTCAAGATGATTGCTAAGTCCGTGACTTTCCAACTTGAGGTGGAAGGATTGAGGGGCGCAAGGAACGAGCTAGAGCTGAAGCTGAATTCGCTAAAAGAGAGTAAAGCGAAGTTGGAATCAAGCAATAAAGACCTGGAAGTGACAATGAAAAATGCCAAAAACCTTCAAACTTTGCTGCAAGAGGAGCAAGAACTGTGTTCTAATTTGCGCGACATCTCCGAAAAACTGAAGGAATCCAATGCGCAGCTTGTGGCTCAACTTAAGGAAAAGGATGCAGCCTGTGCGTCCCTCCAGGATTCCGTGTCTCAGCAGAAATTTGCAGTCGAAGAAGCCAACAAGAAATGCTCGGAAGTACAGCAGTCAGTGGAGGAACTCAAAAATGAATGTGAAATGCTGCGAACAACTCTGGTAAGCGATTATTATATCTCCAAAGTCTTTACCCTTTCTGATCCATGTGTTTCTTACGTTCAGCAAACCAAAGAAGAGCAGATTTGTACGTTGACTAAAAAGGCTGAATCTAATTCGGAGCTAGAGGATCAACTTAAATTGAGGGAGACAGAACGAAACTCTCTCCGCGTAGCTTTGGTGCAGCAGGAAAAACAGCTTGAAGAAATGAGCCAGCAAGCTGACGAGGCTCGGAAGTCAAAAGCTGAGCAGACTAACGAATGTAAAAGGCTGCAAACGGCACTGGTAATGCATGGGATTTTAATCTTTCTTACTTATTCTAATTGATTTGTATTATTCCAGAGCACCATTGAGTCGGAGCGTGATTCTTTGCGTAATAATTTGTCGCAGCAAGAAAAAACTCACGCTGAAACTAATAAGAAATTAAAGGAAATGCAGCAGAAAGATGAAAACAGTCAAAAGTCAGTGACGGCACTCAACAAAGAATGCGACAGGCTACGCACAACAATGGTAAGCAATGAGGCACTTTTATAATACACAACGTAACTAATGGATTTGCACTTTAGAAAACCACTGAGACTAATTATCGCACTGAAAGGGAACGCCTAAACGCCACTGTGTCAAGTCTTTTGGAGGACAAGCGAAACCTAGAAGAAAAGCTGTGCACTCTGAATGAAATTATGGAGAAACTACAGGCTGACTTGACTGCTCTTCAGGGACTCAAATCGAACGGCAGCAATGCCTCCTTTGAGTCCAATGCATCCAGCACGTCGCCAGCTTCCACAGATCGCCTTGCTGTTCCCAGGGTAAGTATTGGATAGAACCATTTCAATGTAGAATCTATAACAAGTTCTCATTTGTGTGCAGAAATCTATAAGCTATGAATCTGGCATGCGTAAGAACCGACGGCTAAGTGTACACGATGAGCGTCGCAGGCAGTCCTACTGGAACAATGTGCGTGATTGGGGAACCATGACGGATCCTGTGGGTAAGTTGGAGATATCTAAGCATATCCTGAAGCATAAGTAATCAATAATCCTAACAATTGCAGACAATAATTGCAACTGTGTGGAGCTCAACCGCAAGCTGCAGGAATGCCAGCGAGATCTCTTTATACGGGAGAGCCAGGTCACTGCGTTGAATATTGAGCTCAAGAACCATCCACTGAAAGAGGAGAATGCACAGCTTCGCAAACGTCTTTTGGAGGACCAGGAAAAAGCGCGTGCAGAAGTGAAACGTCTTAAAATGAAGAATCAAGATCTCACGAGCCGTATCAATGATTTGACTGCCGCGGCAGCTGCATCAGAGTCTCTGCGATCGGCCCAAGGCCAAACATGCAGAATATCTCCTGCGATGACCTCGGTAGATACACAGACGGAGTCTGACTTGGAGACGGTGCTGGAAAAGATAAACCAAAAGTATCAAGACTCACTTAAGTTGTGCCGTTTCCGCTACTCTCTGATCCAAGATTTGGAGCAGAGATTAAAGCAAATCGAAAATTGCGACACCTCCAACATGACATCCCTCACAGCAGGTCAAATCAATGCACTGAAGGTAGACTTATTTGGCTTTGCTTATCATTGACAATTGATTATTTATACATTCTCCATTTACAGACCCAATGTGAGTCGCAAAAGAAGGAACTGTCTGCCATGAACGAGAAGTACGAGTACGCGAAACGTGTGCTGAAGATGCGCAAGGATGAGGTGGTCGAGATGCGAATCAAAATCGCTGGCTATGAGGCAGCCTCTTCAGCTAAATAAGTCATTAGATTTAGCCTAGCTTAGTTGTATATATTAAATTCGTCAGTTCTTTATGCCCGTATCAAGATCAAATCGTAATTCCATCTATTTATTCTATGTGAAATCGAAACTTTCAATATTGTTGTGAGTATTTTAAATGTAGTTATTTACTTGTCATTCATTTTAGTATTGCAAGGTGGACATGTATCGAATACACAGCTACGCTGCCTATTGCCTATTTAAGTACGAATCAAAAATTATACGATCCTTAAGAGTTATACTTTCCTCTTTGTTTCTGTACTAACATATGTGATTTGATGAAGCAACAGGTACTTGTGGCAATACTTACTTGTAATTGATGTCCCCATAAAAATGTGTTGATCTGAGGATCAAATGTACCTGAATCGAAGAAAAGCATCTCTCCGTAAATGTGCAGCAGATGGAAACAATAGATATAACAGTATTGTTCTTCATAACGCGGCTTTATTGTAATTTCAATAAATATTTATAACTTTCTAAGCACATGGATGTCTACTTATATTGCTTATGGTAACGACTTTTAACTAATTGCATTTTAAACTAAACGTCTTAACCGAATTGCATTAACCTTAAATGCATTTCAAGCCTAGGGAAATGCAAATCTATTGCGATCTCTCGCTCCATCGTGAGAGACAAGAAAGGAGAAGTAACCGAAAGTATAAAAACGAGAAGGAAATAAATCAAATCAAATTGAACATACTCATACATAGAGTTCTTCTTTATTTATATAATTTTTGTATGGGCATGTTATGGGTATTCTCCAATCTTGTGTATTGTTACGTTAGGCTACGTTTGGGGATCGTTATATGGGATCCATTGAATACTCGATAGAAACAAATGAAATGCACATTCGAGACGATGATTCCGATTGCGAACTTACAAATAAATATTCAAGTAAATTACATTTAAATTAATTGAGGTAGAAAATTACTAAAGTAACACATATGTTGGTCAATAAGGCAAGTGGTTTGCGACTCTTGTAGAGTCTGTCTGTGCTCATCTTCGATTGAAACTAACCATAAACCTAGGATTATAACTGAGGCATATTCGAACTAAAATACATACAGGAAACTCTGGCCACGGCACTCACTATTCTTACACTCGTAAGTTACAACTATCTACGGGGTAGCTATGTCTCTTGCTTGCAGTGCATCCACATAAACTAATTACATCTAAATATTCCTTAAGTATTGACTCTCTTCAAACGGAGGAGACACTTGTTCAACTCTTCACCGCAGAGTGCTCTCTCTCTCACTCTCACTCTCTCTGTCTGTGGGTGGTCTGATCGAATGCTGAGTATGCTGAGGTAATCAATTCTCTGACAAATCCTAACCATTGTCTGGGGGGTAAGTACAGGCATCCGTTCTATGTATATCTCTGTATCTTTAAGTGCGTTTTGTGGTGTGTCTCTCTATGCTAAATGTGCACTGCATACCGTATAAGTAGTTTTGTATATAAATTAACATTCACTTGTATGTATATATTCTGATCCATTGCGGATCCTTAATCTATTCTGTTCAATATTGGCAAGTTTCCGGTTTTCGGGGTACCCTATATAGTAGAGGACGAAGACAGGACAGGACCAGTCACAACTCATGGAAGTCTAAGGTATTTCGACACACACAAAACTCATTCTTCATCTGCTGCTGCTGCTGCTGCTACTGCTGCTGCTGCTGCTGAGGTCTGAGAGGTCTTCTGCTGAGGTAGTTCGGTTCGAGTTTGAGTTGATTTCGGTTCTTGTTGCGGCTGAGTGTGTGTTCCGTTCCTGAGATATGGTGAAGCACTGTGAATCAATGGAGTGGCTAGACTTGGAACATGGAAGGCTGTTACTTGTATGCTTATATCATAGGTTAGGCATACGCTCTCGGACTCTACTAGCTGTGGCATGCATGGCACATCTGAATTATCCATTTGAATATCCCTTTTCGGATTACTAACTCACAAACGTACTTTAAATGCGACGGATCGGTACTGGGTTCTGTGGGTGTTTAGGTATTTCTTTTAATGTATTTACAAACGCTCTTCTTTGCTTTCAATGTGAAATCTAACTTAAAACTAAAAGGGTAAGGGAGGCGATTTGTGCCTTCTCCTGTCGGGACATCAATTGTATACACAACAGGTACATGTGTATATATATAAATATACATTTATGTATAAATATCTGTATTGGTAGTTTAAAAGCACAACATAGAATTTCTCTACTATTTGGCCAGCTCTGGCAGCGGCGCAAATATGATTTATGATTTTTGTTTCCTAGTCCTATTTTATCCGTATCTCTATCGTATTTCCGTATTGTATATCGTATTTTGTATCGTATTGTACACATAAACTGGTATACATGGGGATAAGGCTACTCGTTACATATGTTCCATGGTTATTCGGTATACAACTGTTGACTCCATCCATCCATCCATCCATCCATCCCGGTGCTCCTGCTCCTCTCTTATGTATTGTGCACACCCTCATCCTCGGAGTAATTCTCTTCAACATCCGAATTGGCCACCTCATTGTTGCTGCCCGACTGATTGTTGTCCAGGCCCAGATCCATGGGCTCTGAACCCTCTCTCCGCAACTCCCCATCATTGTCCGCCTCCTCCATGTCATGGCCATGCATTCTGCCGCCAGAGTTCAGCGCCAGCGGCCCCTGCGCTGCATCCTGGTCGTGCCGCAGTATGGGTTCTATCGACAGGCCCGGTCCGGACTGACCAAAGGCGGGATTGCCAGCGGCCAGCTTGCTCAGATCGAACTGTCCGGGCAGCAGGCCAGGCGGCAGGCTATCCAAACTGTGTCCCATGGCATTCAGTTGCGCCATCTTGGCACGGAGAGCCGCTGCTGCTGCTTGTTCCTGGGACATGCCCATGCCTGGAGGGGGGATACAGAGAGCTTTGTTATTGAAAGAGTTCCATAATGATAAAGATCTGTGCCAGCACTCACCGAACGTATTCTCTGTGATGAACTGCAGGTAGGTGTCCAGCAGGGACTGGCCCGCAGCATTGCTGGTGGGAATCTGCACGCCCAGGTCCTTGGGCTGGCCCAAGGCCACCGCTGTGGCCGCTGCCGCCGCAGCCTCGTTCCGCATCCGCGAGATGGTGGTGTTGGCGTGCCCAAAGTTGCTCAGGAGACTCTCGTGGTAGCGACTGAGATCGCTGTTGCTGCCACCCATTCCGTACAGGCCGTTGCCCACGGTCAGGTCTTCGGGATCCTCGTCAGAGTCCTCGCCATCGTCCAATGGTCCACCGCTGGCGTTGCTCAGATCCAACTTGCCGGCACCGCTGCCACCGCCGCCTCCTCCGCCGCCACCGCCGCTGCTGCCACTGCCGCCGGTGGGCGAGGCACGGGCACGCAGCTCCGCGGGCGAAATCTTGACACCAGCCTTGGCCAGCAGCCGTGAGGCGAGGTCCGGATCAAAGGGGCTGGGCATGGGCAGCACGGGCAGATCCTTGGTGGAGATGCCGCGATGCTGCCTCGACATGTGCGAGTGCAAGGAGTTGCGCGACTTGGCCACAGTGCCGCACAGGACACACCTATAGCCGGGGCAGACGGTGTGCTTGTCCTCCAAATGGGTGCGCAGGGTATGGGCCGAGCGGTAGATCTTGCCGCATTTTGGGCAGGGCCGAGGATCAGTGGCACGCACGCGCATCTCCAGGGATCTTCGGGATACTAAAGAGACGAAAAATATTCAGCATTAGATTTGTATTCATTTATCGGGCATTTTCTTTAAGAGTTCAATGAAAAGTCGGCTCGTCTCTCTCGTTTGCTCTTTATTGTTCACCAAAATATATTTGCCATCTCCAAAACACATCATCATCCTCCTCATCTCATAGTCGGCCGCAGATACTGGCACACACTTGCAGCCTGCAAAGTCTTTGCCTTTGCCCTATCAAACAATTTGCAAACTAAAAATGGCATACGAATATCAAACCGATGGATGTACAGATGTACATGGATGTTTCATCAGTTTTGCTCTCTTTTGTTTTTCTATACGCTTTATAAACTACAATTGTAAAATTGTCCGCTTCGAAATGGAATTTATAGATATATATTTTGAATCGAGCCTCAAAGTTGATCGATTACTTGCGCTAGTTTTTGCTCAAGTTTCGGTTTTGTTTAGTTTTGGGTTTTTTCTCTTCTTTCGTTTAGTTTTGATTAACATTATAGGAACCTTTTTACGTATGTTTTCCATCTGCTCTTTTCTGTAGTACTTAAAGCCAGCGGCCGCCAATCGAATGGAATCGAAAATCGAATCAAATCGTAAACACAAAACCAAATTCTTCCATCAATTTTGAACTTTTTCTCTAATACAAATCGGGTTTTCTTCAACGTTAGTTTTCTTTTACTTTTAGTTATTTTTGTTTGTTCTTATTTCCTTTTCCTTTTCCTCTTCGTTTTTTTTTTTGTTTGGCTAAAAATATATTATGCAGGCACATTCTATTTTGTTTCAGTATCAATATTCATAATATAACTACATCATATCATCGTTGTTTATATATATATATATATATATATATATATATAATTTTGTGGTTTGCTTGGTTTTAGCTCATTATCTACATAGTTTCTCCAACCTCTCTATGGCTTACATACGTCTGCTTATGCAATTCTATCAATTAATGTTATTATTCTTCTTGTGTTGTAATTCTCTTCTGTTTTTTTGTCTTTGTTTTTTGGTTTTTTTGGTATTGGTTTTTAATCATAATACTGCACATATTTTTACTGGAGTTTACTGGAGTTTTATTCTACAGATTCCTTTGCACTGCAAATCAATTCAAAGTGGTTTTGGAATTTCATTTTCTTCATTTGGGTAAACATACTATCAGAGCTAGTATTAGTTGTCTGCATTCTTTAATATACTATATTGAATATAGGAACGTAATAATTGTTTGTAAGTATCCTAAACCCAAAAGCGATCATCCACTTGTCTGCTAAGAAGCTGCTCTGGACTCTAGAATCCATCTAAAGCTCATCTCATTCTGCTGCTGTCTCTTCCTTCCTTTGAGTGATCTAATCCGAATGAGAATTGAATAGTTTCGATCTTGCAAGCGAATGAAACTGACTGAAACCATTCCATTATTATCTTCTGTTTCTGTTTGCTGTAGTTATGGGGAAGTGTGTGGAATTATGTTGAATAAAAGTCTCCAAAGAGTGAAATAAAACTTTAGAAATTCCTGAAACTGATTGAAACCTTTTCTCTATGGTAAAATAAAATGTTCACACATAAAAGAAGGAAGTGAGCAACAAAGGATGGGCATGGCATGGCTGACTGGATCCTGTGCCACGTAGCTGGCTTATAGGAGAGGATCCATCCAGTGCGCTTACAATTACTAAAATTATAGTGGATGACGACGACTTTCGCCTTTGACTGGGACTTGGACTACTTTTGGCTATCTACGATAGATTGCGAGTGTGTCTCGAGATTGGGGTGTTGTTTAAACTTTAAAGTTAGATTCGATTTATTGTCGCCATTGTGTGACTGAAAGCAGCAACCTAGAAAGCTTTGCGGGGGGGGGGAGAGTACGGTACGGCATGGGGTGTAACGAGTATTACAGGTCTAGCCCGCGACACTAGTGGGCCGCCTCGCAGTTTCATTTGAAGTCAGGCCCGCCGGCAAAGGGGCCCCCGGACGAGCGCATGGCCTTCATCTTGGCCCACTGGAGGGTGTGCTTGATGCGCATGTGATTCCGCACAGAGTTGGGATGGGCAAAGCGCCGTCCGCACTCGATCACCGGACACACGGGACTGTCGCGCGGGTAGTGCCGGTCCAGATGCTGCCGGAAGACGCGCTGCTCCAGCGGCGTCTCGCACAACGGACAGGGCAGCATGTAGTTGCTGCTGCTGCTGCTGCTTGGCGTGCTGCTGCCCGGCACAGGTCCGGCTCCCGGTCCGGGCCCAGGACCAGGCACAGGACCCGGTCCGGGTCCGGGTCCAGGTCCACTGCCGTTCCCCGGACTCACTGTGGCGGCTGTGGCACTGGCTGCGGCTGCTGCTGCAGCTGCCACGGCCGCCGCAGAGGTGTTCTGGAAGAGTTCGGGAAAGTCCCGGGAGCGGCTGAGCGCAATGGTGCGGGCCATGAACAGATTGGCCGTCAGCTGCTGCTGGTGCGACACGGACACGGACTGTTGCAGCTCATCCAAATATTGTTGCTGCTGCTGTTGGTGTTGCTGCTGCTGCTGCTGCTGCTGTTGGACTGCCTCGTGCCGTGAGTGCTGCAGCTGCTGCTGCTGCTGCTGTTGGTGCTGCTCCTGCTTCAGCAGCAGCGTCTGATAGAGCGTGGACTCGCTGGACTGCCGTGTCCGCTTCATGGTCAGCGATATGGCCGAGGAGGCTGACGACGAGCGATCATCCTCATCGTCGTTGTTGGTGTGGTTATTCTGGTTATTCTCCTCCGGCTCGTGCTCCTCCTCGCTGTCGTTCCAGGAACGCGCCGAGGGCGTGGGCGAGGAGTTGGCCGAGCGGTTCCGCTTCCTCTTGTTGTGATTGGTATTGGAATTGTTGTTGTTGTTGTTGTGGTTGTTGTTGTGGTTGTTGTTGTGGTGCTGGTGAGGATTGTGGTGATGGTGATGGTGGTGGTGCGTCGAGTGATGATGCTGCTGCTGCTGCTGATGCGGCTGATGGCTGCGCCGCTGCTCGAACAACTGCGACAACTGCGGCCGCTGCATAATCTTCGCCAACTTACTGGCACCCGGGCGACAATCCGCGGCATGTGCCTCATGCGGCTGCGGCTGTGGCTGTGGCTCCTCCTCCGTCTCCGCCTCCGCCTCTGGCTCGATGGCCTCCTGCTTGATGCTGTTCTTGGCATTCAGGAATGTTCCTGCATTCAGCGTTGATCCAGCGCACGTGCGGAGGGAGAAAGTCGGGGAGGAAGTCAATGTGAAATCAAAAGTCAGAAGCAAGCTAAAGGAAATTCTCGATCTCTCTCTCTCTCTCTCTCTCTCTCAGTTCGATTTTTGCATTCTTCAATTTTGATGTACAGTGTTGGGTGTGAAATTTGTAGGGGGAGGGCAGTGGAGGGGAGTGTGTGTGTTAGAGATCTTCGGCTGCAGCTTCCAGGAATAGCAGCAGCAACAACAACAGAACAGCAGAACTGAATCAAAACCTTCCTCACGGCTTTCCAATTTTAGTTTTTTCAATATATTCTTAGAGTGCCAATCGGTTAGGGAATTTTTCGTATTTTCTACACATTTCTTTTGCCAATTCTTGGGTATTATTTGCATATTCAGTTCTTACAGTTAGGATTGCTTTGATTTATTCGCTGAATTTGTAAGCGAAACACACACACGGACCGTCGAGTATTCAGCCAATATTTTTGTTGACATTTTTCATTGATTCGTGTTTGATTGTTTTGAGCCAATTGCAGCATATTTATGGGTATATATTTATACATATCTTATACTGAATATAAAAGTATCACAGATATAGTACGTTGCAGGCAGGCAGGCAAGTAATTATAAAATAATAAATTATATTTATAGGAATATAGTGTACAAAAAGTGCAAAAGTATACAAATAAAATGTTTTATTTACAAAAATATCACGCGCTGTTTGCAGTGAAACTCACAAATGAGCAAGGGAAAGATTCTCTGAGAGGGTTTTTGGGACATTTTCTAATATTTATAGTTCGTGTTTCTTCGTAGTAAAAGGTAAATACAGTGCGTGAAAAAAACTATAAGAGCCCAACACATGCATGTGAATTGGGAGTAGAAATTACAGTCAGACCCCAGGAATTTATTGAATGTATTCCTTAGATAAGTTATGGAAAAGAGGCGTAGAACCTATACATAACATCCTTAACAAAAGGGAAACTGTTTGCTAACTGCGATCGCTAGAACTTCAGCTCTCCAGCTCTGAAACGCACTGTCTTACAGAAAGGGTGGAGCATGGCCGAAGGTGGATTGCTGGATTGTTGGACTGCCAGATGCAAGATTGGGAAAGGGGAGTGAGACATGAGGCATGGCGAATCGCGTGATACAGAACCATTGCCGTTTGGGCTTGGACGGTACAACTCTATATTCTATATGTCTATATGCGGTGTCTGTGTGAACATTCGTATCCATGTGGCGTGCAGAAACACACCTGGCCTCAAAGGCAGATCCATCTTCTGCACTGGCAGTCCTGGCAGTCGCATTTCACGCTCCCATTTCCCTTTCCCATTTCTGATGCCGTTTCAATATTCGATAATAATAAATATTGAAAAATAAAACGCAATTTAATGTATAGAAAATTGCCAAGGCCCAGGGCCAGAACCAGACCCAGACCCAGTCGCAGGCCCATTGGCCCCCAAAAAGTATTGAGTCATTTTTTGGATGGCCAGAGATTTGCATAGGGGGGGGGAGAAAGATGCAGGGTGCAGGGTGCAGGGTGCAGGGTGCAGGGTGTTATGGGTGCGGGTCATGCATGACGCAAGGCGACCCCAAAAAAACAGAAAATCAAATTAAACAATTTAGTTCTGCCTTTGTGCGTGACAACTCAAGGGAGAAGGCAAACAAAATTCCGATGCATAAATATATCAAGTGAAAAATACAATAAAATGCAATCGAATAAAATTGAAAATACAATATGCACTGTGCCATAGAGTGCTCCAGCTGCTACCCCTCCATCTCCTTCATCCTCAATGCTGTGTGTGTGTGTCCATCTATTTGCCACATGCATCACGAGTGTCTATG